GGAGACGAATTGTTGAATAAAGTCGTTATTTTTGTTTTCTTTGCGTACAAAAAGTATTCTCGTCGCTTCGTAAAATTATGGTTGAACCGCTGATGTGTAATGGATTATTTTACCGATCTCCTTGCTACGTTTCTGGACCTTGATCGTGGTAATTACATTGCTGTCTATGGGGGGTCAGAGAGCTCTAAGAATTAATCAAAAATATCTTGATTTATGTTCCGAAGATGAACGGAGGTCTTACGGGTTTAGAATGACATGAGGGTGAGTAATTAATGACCGAATTTTCATTTTTGGGTGAACTAACCCTTTTATCTACTCTCCTGTCTGATCTGTTTGTCGGACAATATGGTGGATTCAGCGTTATGATTGGTCAGATCGCCTGTCAGTCAAGCTCCCTGCGAAGGGTCAATTCTGAGTTTCTATCTTGGAATTCTGACTTCTTTTTCTTGATATAACAATTCTGAGTAAATCTGTAGTGAGTTTACATATATCTCACCAGTGTTAATTTCGTTGATGAATAATTTTCGTCATAATGTTTGTCAATGACATTTTTTTCACTGACGACAACGAGACGATAACGAACTAAAATTATTTTTGAATGACAAAAACTATGACGAAAATTTATTGACATTTTCGTCAACGAATAAAAACGAGACGAAAATGTTAGGGAGGGACGATTTGGGAAGAGATTCATTCAATTTCAGAACGAATCTGCTGCGTGGTTCGGAGGTTAGATGCGTACATACGAACCGGCGGGACATAAGCTAAAATACACTTGCTGTACGTCGCATAAAATGTTGAAAAATGTCAATATGTGGGAGTAAGAGAAGAGCAGACATATAAATCTGACGACGCAGATTCGGTCGGGTTTTCTGAGCGCAGACACTGAAGCATACACACAGAAAGCGCCTCTCACAGCGCGTGAATACTCTTTCACGTCGCATGAACGGAGAATTAAGAATTACACACAAAATGATGTCAAATTGTCCGTTTTGACGAGTATTCACGTAAACGCAGTTGATTACGTCTTCAGTGAACGTAAACAGTAGGGAGAACGTGTATCAGTACATTGCATCCATTGCAGCTGTGCATTCGGTTTTAAAGGGACAGCAGCCTAATTTAGTTGCTATTGTCCGAGTCATTGATGTTAATCAAGCAACGAAAGAAAGAGAATCACTCACTGCTCTTGATTGAAAAACTTCAGTAGCCCTAAAGATTAATCTAAATTTATTTACAGAAATAAATATGTCTGCTTGAAAGAATGAAGAATATGGTAAACAAGTTGCTATAAACAATGCATAATTAGCCTATATAACCAGTTGGTATTTCATTAAAAAGAAGACCATGTTCTTGTTCTTTATGAGACGTGGTTTTATTAATTTTAACATAACATTAACATTCACACAAGGCATGTTGTGTGTCACCGCAGTTAAATCGGTGTCTATCATGATAAAACATTAATATCAAACCTATATAATGAGTTTGGAAATTTTGGAGAAATGCTTAATAAACACATTGCACTGTAACTAAACCCATTAGATTTCAGCCGACTAAATTTACTGTAGATTTAGTCGACTAAAATCTTATGATATTTAGTCGACTAAAACTAGACTAAAACTAAAAACAATTCAGGTGACTAAAATATGACTAAATGGCATTTTAGTCAAAAGACTATGACTAAAACTAAATCAATATTTGCTGTCAAAATTAACACTGTATCTCACAATTCTGACTTTGTGAGTTTTTTTCCTAAAAAAAGAGGATAAGAGGATAAGTACCTCTTTAACATTTTTATCCTGTGGCAGAAATGGGCTTTCATAGCAAACAGCAGCAAACAAAATTGTGTTCAAACAAGTTTTTGGATCGCAATTTTGTTGTATGCTGCTAATGTTGCCAGATATGTCGCTCACTTTCATGCAGATTTCTGTACAATCCATAAGCCATACAGTTAGCTTCATACATATGGTGCTTTGAATATGTTTTATAATGTTCCTGTGGCTCAGTGGTAGAGCATTGTGGTAGCAGCACAAAGGTTGTGGGTTTGATTCCCAGGGAACACACATACTGGTAAAAAATGTATAGCCTGAATGCACTGTAAGTCGCTTTGGATAAAAGTGTCTGCTAAATGCATAAACTTATAATGTATTTATTAGTTATTTTGCACAGAAGTTTCGGTATCTGGGTCAATATGAATTTGAATGTGGTTGATGTACATTTTGTAAATTACAAATGCAGGTACCCAAAATCAAGTTTTTAGTTTGCATACATGTGCACAGACAAATATACTGTTCTTTATGCAAGAAATAAATGTAGAGGTAGCTAGTTGCAGGGTGAAGAAAGGACTTTTATTTTGCAATAATGACCAATTGGCTGTACTTTATCCCACATATTACATGGCTATTTACCAAATAAATAAATGATTATATGCATATTAAATATTTAAACTTTAAACCATAAACTTCAGTTGAGCCTTATTTATTAATTTGTGAAAAGAGCAAGTTATACAAGAGAAATTAACCAAAGGTGCATATTCTGTACATATTTCAACACTTCATGTAGCATTAATGCACATGCCTTTGATTCATGTACAGTGCTGACAGGGTTTAATGGCCAGATGGCAGATTAGGCCGCATTGCATTTTGGGATGTCAGCAGGCAGATTCATTTGACGATATTATTTCACATGGAACATTAACCTGCATTTTGCAAGCAATTATGCAATGCCTTTAATATCAAAGCAAATGCAGACATGTGAACAATGAACTGTCCTCAGACAGTTTTAAGTTAGTGTGTCAGGTTTAAAATAAATATCGGCATTGTTAAAAAGTATTAAGACATGAGAACTGAATAAAAAAGTACTGAAAGCAAACTAGTTTATTTGATCAGTGATGAATAACATAATATGCATATATTTTTACATTTCTAGTTTAATGGTTTGCTGTAACGAAGCATTTAATTACATCTTCAAAAAAGTGATATAGGAACTTATTTGTCATTCATGAACAATTAAATATGTTATCTTAAACTTGATAACAGACATAAATCAGTCACTTCCTTATTTTCTTAGCTTATATTTTTCCACAATACATGTGCTGTATGTTCTTTATTATTATTTTATACATTTCTTTTAAATTTTTTTTTATTATTATTTATTTCTCTGTCCCAAAACCCCACCCTTCGAAGCAAAAAACAAACGCGCAATTGGTTCCACACCCTTCAGCTGTGAAAGAGCCACGCACTGCTTTCACTTCGAGTAAACACACGATGTCGAAATCCTCTGAAATTATAAGCAGAAAACACACACAGGTCCGACCATTAAGCCAATAAATCAACACGTATGCAATGCACTGTACAAAACAATATACACTAGCGGTGTCCGATTCGCTAACGAATCGTTCTTTTGAGTCGGATCTTTAAATGAATTTGTCGGTCTGAACGATTCTTTCATGAATGAGACTGAATCGGGTTCACGTGTCCGATTCGTAATGACTGATCCGAGGATTTTGGTGCTGGGACGAACGGTAATACATTTATTTATTTATTTTTTGCTAAAATCAAAAATCTCGCTGGTTAATGCCTTGATGTACATATGAAACAGTTCCCAGATTTTGGTTTCCATAACGTTCTTATTTGGTTCCCCTCAAAAAACAAACTAAATTAATTAAATAATAAACACACAAACAAATGGTTTGCTGGGTTGGTTTTAATAAACAGGATTTTATTATTAAATAGCATTCAAAAATAAAAATCATGACTGTAATGATGTGAAACTGATAAACCTTATAAAATATTGGAACTTTGGAACGTAAGGATAACGTGATGACGTAAAAGAATCACTAATTAGGTTCTTATTCATTTTCAAATACATAAATAATCCAATGGGAACGTTAGGGGAACGTTCTGTATTTGCTGGGTTGGTTTTAATTAACGGAATTTTATTATTAAATAATAGCAGTTACTTAAAACTGTTTTTGTTTATTTCAGTGCAATATATATTTAGGTTGTAATTATCTTCGTTCTTATGTGATGAATCATGGCTCTAATGAAGTGGAAAACGGATAAACCTGGCTTTTGGAACGCAGGGATAGCGTGATGATGTAAAAGAATCACTGATTCGGTTCTTGAAAACGAACTGTTCGAACGAGCCGGTTCGTTCAAATGATTCGGACCTCCATTCCCTAATACACAATACAACGCGCACAGTACAGAACGAGTGAAGTGTGTGCTATGGTGTAGGTGTAAAATGTAACTGTAGTGAGCACAGTAATTACAGTAGACAGTCTAGCAGTAATTGAGTAAACACGTGAGCGCGATAATACGCGTTCATAGATATTCAGCATCCTCGAGGATTGAATGAATGAGAACGCGCAGTAATCTATTTTTATCCCGCGCGCTGGTGCAGGTGCACAGGTCAGAGCAGGCGGAAGTGACGAGTGCGCTCACGAGACTCGCATTAAACCGTCGGGATTAGATCGGAGGACAGTCGAGCGGAGCTCAGCCGAGTTAGACGGTAGGATTTCACTCCTTTCCTTCATTTGTTATTCACAATTTGTGATTTCCGACCGTCTTGAATTATTGTAGCGTAAACGCCGGCATTTTTCGCCCGTTTTATAGGCTTGTTTACGTTGTCTGTCTGTCTGTCTGTCTGTCTGTCTGTGTGTGTGTGTGTGTGTGTGTGTGTGTGTGTGTGAGTGAGAGAGTGAGAGACGAGTTTGGGAGATCATCGCCTCGCGCTGCTGATGTGAGGGAGAAATATCTCCACAGTTGTTTTACAAACACCGGTTCGTGTTTTAAATCTCAGTTACAAGATTTTAAACGGCTTTAATGCACATTTCGGCATTTTATACCCGTGTTTGACGTTATACACTGATTTAATGTCCCAGATTGAAGCGCGACTAGCCAAATTCAGAGCTGTCGGTCGCGTATTTCAATATAATCTGCAGCTCTGGCGTCTAAATAGGCCATTGAACACAGAGGCCCCTAGTTAGATGCAGCGTATTTGTTTCTCTGCCAAGAATGTGACTTGTCCCAGCAGCCTCGATGCAGATGCACCGGCTGGAACAAAGCGAGCACATCACAAACACACCAGCCTCACTGTTCTGATAGGATATGAACAAATCTTTCCACTCCTGTCTGCTTAAACATCAAACTGTGATGCAGATAAATAGACCGAATCTGTGTTTTGTTTTGCTTTTAACTTGTTTTTAGTGTAAATGCATTGAGAGAGTTGTCACAAGGGTTATACTTTAGTATATGTGATGCCAAAAGTGTGCATCTGCTGTATAAAATAGTTTTTTTGCCTTATAATAGGTTCTTTAATGACAGGTTCTTATTGTGACAACTTGCCCCACTCTTCCCCGCTTTGTTGCATATCCATGTAACTCTGATGTTCTTAGACTAATAATAACACAAGCTGATCAGGTCATAGTCCACCGTAACTGAAACAAATGTACAATAGTCAGCAATTATTTTGGCTTTTTGCACTGCCTGTTATATCAATAAAGAAGCTAATGTGTTGCTCAAAGCTTTGAAGTTGACTTTAGTTTAATAGTATTATTTAACCCTGTAAAGCCTGACATATGAAATATCTTCTTTTTTTTTTTTTTTTTTTTAAACTGAACAGTTTATTGAACCTTTAGACAAAATATAAAACATGCATGTGTTTTGTTGAGGATCATATTTAATACGTCAGGCTTTTATGGCTCATGTAGTATGATATAGTGAGAATATGAACATCTGAATTTTATTCAGAGGCCCAAACGGAGTAAAACTGTGCAATTTGGTGCAGATGCTGATATTGACAAAAACTGATGCAATTCTGATGCTTGTAATGTAAACAAATGAGATCTTAATAACAGTATAGCAGATACTTAAAATGATAAAAATATTATTGGTGGTCGCTCTATATCTCCAATAAGATGCCTTAGTAAGATATTTAAATGATGCAATGCAGTCCATTGTCCAATGATGATTAAGGGTTGAACAAATAAACGTTCCTCAGAAGATGTGAGATGTTTTGGAGGCTTCTGAAGATCACTCCTCCGCTGAGGAACAGTGAAAGTAAAGCTTCTGGAAACAAACGCTCCTCAAAAGATCCTGATGATCAGATTTGAGATGCACTGATTTTTCTAGAAAATGATTGATGGAGAATCAAGTAAAGCAGAGCTGCTTCAGTCCAGTGAGTGTTCATCTGAATATCACTTAAAAATTAAATTAAATTTTAAAATTAAACTAAAAATTATTTCAGAATTGTTTTTAATATATATAAAATAATTCTTAAAAAACGGTATATATATATACATAATAATTCTTATATATATATATATATATATTAGTAATAAATATTTAGCTATAAAGATACTTTTTCAATTCATTGCAATCATCCATTGTAATAATTGTAATTTAATAATTAATTAATATTTAGTAAAGCAATTATAATAATAAATATATAAACAGTATTACTGAAATATTACTAAAGTTATTCTGACGTTTACTTATAAATCAGCAAAGATTTGACAGCAAAAAGACATGTGAAGCACGAGCTGAAGCTGGAGGTTTGTACAGTTACACTAAAAGTATGTTTGGTAAAGCAATGCGAGTGTTAAGTATGTAGAACGGGGCTCGTGCGATTGCGATTTGTTTCCAGTATGTCAGTGAATGTCCACGTGTGTCAGTAATGAGACGCTGCCATCAATCTGAGACTGAGACGGGTGCAGTTACAGGTCACTCTCTCCAATTTAGCAAATGTGGGTGTTTCCTCGTTCTCTCGTTCTCCTCTGCACCTCTAATTAAGCAAATGCAGCCTCTCGGCTCAAGCTCAACCTGTTATCTTTGTTTTTTAAGTGTGATGGGAGGAAAGTGGATCGTTGGCACTCGTGAGCAAACGTGAGGGATCTTGCAAGGACAAATTTACATATAGTCTGCATTTAAAGGGAAACCTCATTCAAAAAAAAACGTGAAGTAATCTGTATGACTTGTGCACTATATTCTGAAGCTGTAAGATAGAGTTCAGATGTCCTGAAGAATTAGATTTGAGAGCTTTTTGGCTGAACTCTTCTTGTAATGGCTGAATAAGCTGCATGTTCCAGCAGCTAAATGGCAATTCATTACAGGCTGTATAGAATATCAAATGGATTTCCTTGTAATAATCGAGAATATTATCTGTCAGGTTCATAGTAAAATGTGAATGCAAAAAGACCTTAATGGAAGCAGGCTTAGAGCAAGATGCTCATGTGTGCTCGTATGAATCAGCATCTGATTTCTTATATAATCTCACCACTGAATCATATGCAAATAGGACACTGAGGGTGTCCTGCACGCTGCACTAGAGCTGCGCAATATACATGAACAAAACATCACTAAATAATATTTAGCTTTTTTCTATACATATAGGCCCAATCCCAATTCTACCCCTTAGCCTTTCCCCTTTCCCCTACCCCTCCGTTTCGCGCGTTCACGTGAAGGGGTAGGGGTGTCTCAATTCTCTTTTGGTTG